TTACCTGCATTGCCTTGAGTATGCACTGGGTTGGGATGACGTTGTAATGAAGTAGAATTTTTTATATCCTCATGAATCATTTAACGAGATCTCACTCTTTTACCGCATTCAAAATTTGTATAATTAACCTAGTCTAGCAGCAGTTCCTTGAGAGTTGTATAAGGAAGCGAGATAGGCTTTTCCGGCATAGCCAGAGTTCTTAATAAGCTGTACGCCTCTTTTCCGATGAATGTGAGGAAATGTGCCACAATATTAACATCCTCAGCACCTTCCTTGGTCACAGCCCAGATTTCGAACCTTTCAAAGTAATCCTTAAAAGCTACAGAAGTTGAATGAATATCTAACTTTTCCATCGCAGGCTTCATCGCAACGCCAGTATAATATTTGAATTATTTGAATTGTAGTATGAACTAGGAATCCCAGAATTAACGCAATTGAATCAAGAACTACGACACAAGCACGAACGAATGTATTGTATTTGGGATTCGAAATCGAGCATTACACAAGTACAATAGAATCATTAGTTAATTCAAACACCACACATTTTTCTGAAAGAACATAGATTTGCGAATCTCACGACTTGCATTGATTTCTCTCAGTCCATGTCGTCTCATGACATCTGTATGCACTGTCACCAATTTTAGCCTTAGCGTTGGGGCATATCAAATTAAAATAACAGAAAAGATCTCATACCAATAAGGCTAGAATTTCGATAAGACACTGTGAAGAACTCAAATTCCAAGTATGCAGTACGAGATTTTATTGTTTTATTATCGTATGTTCAAGCAACATAAAATATTTAACTGTACAATAAATGTGTCGGATATTCACTACAGGCTTTCGTCAGAATGATCATGTTGTTTCCTGGACACTTCTCTATGATTAATTTCAGGCCCTCATAGGACTATTCTTTATCATCTTTATTGGTAGGTGAATGGCAATGAATTACATTCGCAGTAATCATTTTCTTCCTTGTTCGAGGGATGCTTCGATAATCTGTGTGTTTCTGATATATTCGTTGTCTTTGCAGTTGACAAACGGAGACAACTGAATAAAGAGAACCAGCATAGATATATCTTTCTATATCAATCTAAATAAGTGAATTAACTAGTATGTTTAGTAGTAATCAACAATTAGATTATAATTGGGTTGACGGAGATAACTGGGCTGGAATGATGATAGTATTAGATAAATACCATAGACAGAACTCTTCGTATTTGACTTAAATTCACATTGACACTGACACTTGGAACCTTTATGATCTGTTCTATAATGGAGGTAAAACTGTCAATAAAAATTCAACAGATATATTGTATTGAAATATATCCAAAGCTGCCCTAGGCTGGTTTATTTTTATGATACTGAAGTGAATATAAACTGTCCTGTGTCAATTAGACAGCATGTCTCAAACGATAACACATCTTTAAACAACAGAGTACGATCAACAAATAGATAGATAGGCCATTTACCGTCATAACTTCTTTAAGTAGATACTTTTCAGTCTTATGTCATCCCTTTTACTTTAGTAACTCTAAATACGTTTACCTGGTGCAGGTTTTCGTTTCGACAAGTTCAATGAGTCGTTTAACCGATGAACATTGTGAATACCCTGGACAAACACTTCATGATAACTCCACCTGTAGCTCTTCTAGGGTTACTACCGGTCCCAAGCCTAGGTTAAGGAGGAGGGTTGGGCATGGAGTTAGCGAGCCCATCCCGTAGAAAACTAACTCGCTAAAAAACGATTACCAGAAAAATAATTCAAACCATTTGAACTCTCCCCTGGGAGTTAGAAGGTCTTCATTTAGAAGAACTATGATTCCTCATGGTGTAAGCCGAGTTCTCTGGGAAGCCACGAAGCCGATGCCACTTCTAACAACCAGGGCAACAATTTTTATAGGTACATGAAACATCCGAACAGTGTGGGAGACCGGGAAGACCAGTCAAATAGTAACGGAAATGAGGAGAAACAACTTGGATCGACTGAAAGAAGAAGACACTACTATGTAGGACAAGTGGAAAGGTACCAAAAAAGCACTAACTTCAACGTGTCAGGAGGTTCTGGGCCTCAAGAAGCATCATCATAAGGAATGGATCTCTACAGAAACAGTGGACAGGATCAAAGAAAGGAAGAACAAGAAGACAGCAAATGACAACAGCCGAACACGAACAGAGTAAGTCCAAGCACAAGTTGAATACATAGAAGCAAACCAGCAAGTGAAAAAGAGCATTAGAGCCGACAGGAAGGAATACGTGGAAGAACTAGCAACAATGGCGGGAAAAGCTGCAAGAGAAGGAAATATGAAACAGCTCTCTGATAAAACGAAGAAACTAGCAGGGCAAACCAATCACTGAAATTCAACAACATCGGAACAGAGGCAGAGGCATTACAATACTGTCAGTAGCAGGGAAAGCCTTTAACAGGGTGTTGCTGAACCGGATGAAAGACGCAGTACACGCCCGACCTCGAGATCAACAAGCTGGATTCCGTAAGGATCGGTCGTGATCAGACCAAATTGCGACACTACGGATCATTGTCGAACAACCAGTTGAATGGAAATCGTCACTGTACGTCAACTTCATCAATTATGAAAAGGCGTTTACAGTGTAGATAAGAGAACATTATGGAAACTACTTCGACACTACAGAGTTCCTGAGAAGATTGTCAACATTATCCGGAACTCATACGACGGACTACAATGCAAAGATGTGCATGGAGGACAGCTGACAGATGCATTCCAAGTAAGGACCGAAGTCAGACAAGGCTGTTTACTCTCTCCCTTCCTTTTTCTTCTGGTGGTCGACTGGATTATGAAGACCTCGACATTTGAGGGAAAACACAGCATACAATGGACAGCTCAGAACTAATTAGACGATTTGGACTTCGCAGATGATCTAGCCCACCTATCACATACACACGAACAGATACAGATGAAGACAGCCAGTGTAGCGGCAGTCTCTGCATCAGTAGGTCTCAGCATACACAAAGGGAAAACCAAGGTCCTCAAATTCAAAGCGGAAAACAGCAATCCAATCACTCTTGATGGCGAAACTCTGGAAGATGTAGAATCCTTCACATACCTGGGAAGCATCATCGATGAACAAGGAGGTTCAGATGCAGACGTGAAGGCGAGGAATGGCAAAGCAAGGACCACATTCCTACAATTGAAGAACACATGGAACTCAAAACAACTTTCAACCAACATCAAAGTGAGAATCTTCAATACGAACGTCAAGGCAGTTCTACTGTACGGAGCTGAAACTTGGAGAACTACAACAACCACCATCAAGAAGGTACAAGTATTTATAAATAGCTGTCTTCGCAAGATACTCAACATCGATTGGCCGGATACCATCAGCAATAGCCTTCTGTGGGAGAGAACAAACCAACTTCCAGCTGAAGAGGAAATTAGGAAAAGACGATAAAAATGGATAGGACATACATTACGGAAATCATCAAACTATATCACGAGGCAGGCCTCAACTTGGAATCCTGAAGGAAGCGGAAAAGGGGAAGGTCAAAGAACACATTGTGTCGGATAATAGAAGCAGATATGAAAAGGATGTATTACAACTGTAAGGAACTGGAAATGATTGCGCATGGCAGGGTTGAATGGAGAATGTAAGTGGGCAGCCTCTGCTCCTTCATGAGGAGTAACAAGCGTAAGGAAAACTTTATACTAAGAGTTAAGTTATGTGTTATTGAAGCACCGTTGAATGATCCACTTGCAACGTATGAGACCAAATAACAAATGAAATCGCTCGGTTAGGCAGTGACCTTTTATTTTCACATGTTCTTTGACATACATCGTCTCTAAGACACTGACTTGTAAATGTTATGTCAATCTCTCTGCCTACATCGAGAACAACAACCTCTCGTACTTTCACATTCAGAACGACACTCTTCAGGAGTGCTGACATCTGTATTTTCGTTTTGCGAAGTACATGTCGGTACTGACACATTATCTGAGAGCATTTTTACATTACCACTAGTTTCCTTAGCTGTTAGAAATCTTTTATTTCTATGGAAAGTTATCCAACAATAGGTTAATTAATATTGAAAATCAGAAGGTGAACATTAAAAAATATCATATCAATACTTGTTTAGTTTTCAAGCTAATTTAAGTTTAGGGACATACGGTCCAAGTTCACCAAAGCTTTTCATCGATTCGGGAGTGGGAAGCTCTTTTATGCCGCAAAGTGATAAAAATATTTTTAACGTTCAAATATCTTGCTAATCAGTTCAGAGTACGGTTTTACTGGTGCACCAAGTTGCTTGATCCAATCATTGTATGAACAAAGAATTGAAAGAAAGCAGTCTTCCGTAATGTTTGAACCATTTACTCATCATGTAGTCGATGTCCTGAACAGCATTTTACTATCCAAAGTTTTTCTACTAGCTTAGAACTCTGCTTTATTTTCAGAACCAGATATAACGAAAAAGATTTAAGTGGATGCTCAGTGAACCTCCAACAGTTGGAGCACAGGCATCTAAGAGGTGATTTCCTAATGACATAAACCATCCTAAACACTTCTGTGCATCTCCTTAAATACCTACTTAAGTTTAGTCGCAACACCCAGAAACTAGGGATATAACACAGAAGAATAGATTGTAGGTACACCTTCCACTCCTTAAAATTAGTCAAATACCGGAATCACCTGATGGCTGAGATGGTACGAGTAACTCCCCGGGGCTCTTTTGAGAGAAAACTTGATATTTTCTCTGGATAGTATCTCGATAGAATTTGCTAATTTTATTTTCTCTTCTATCTTTAAGTGTGAATAGAGTTTTACCTGAAGGCATCGGTGGTCGATTGCCACGAAATACGGAACCCCACTATCCCAAAGCTCCTTCAATTTCGCACAGATACGTTTGAAACCCTACGATATGAATTTTTCTTACGAAGACATAGTGTACAACATATACCTAGTGCCATTTGTTGCTTCAAAGGTTTAAGAGGTTATGCGATCGTCTCTTTCAAAATTCAGCACTTTTCAATCTGGTTTTGTTTCAACCCGTTACATAGCAAATCAAGGCCATCTTCAGACGACTTCATAGGGTCCAGGTGTTTGACAAATGGTAGCTCGCTGTAGTTGGCTGCATTTTTGAATATCATTCAATCGAACATCTTTGGAGATGGTTCTAGGGGGCGATCTCGAGGAAGCTCTTTCGGTATTTGGAGAATTACGAAAAGGCCCCAAAGCCGAATACTATTTTAAATGGTCTGTTCTCAGCTTCGGTTGCTGTTTAACAATCCATCACATCATCAGCCCTTGGATATTCACACGATATAATAAGTTGTATCGAAATCTACCTCGGCCCCATAGGATGGAATGGGATTCACGGTAAGTCGTTGTAACTAGTATACCTAAGACCCACTAGCCTAGTCATATGTCTAATGTAATTACATAATTGCATATGGCTATTGTGTTTGTGTGCTTGGCTTTATTTTTCACTTCAAACCTTAGAAATATGTACCTTGTATGTTACTGAGTCTCGAATTATTTAGAATCAGCCAGATTAGGTTTTAGAAGTGTTATAAAACTCATAATTCTTCACGAAAACCCAAATCACGAAATACTATTGCAGGTTATAGACCCATTCCTATCCCTCTTGGCGAGTACAAAGTAAGTTAAATGGTGAAATCACTTTATGTTAGGACTAAGCAACTAATTTAAAATTGTTTTTGTAAAACATAAATCTCCCCGTTATTCCTAGAAAAATATATGCAACGGTTAGTTGGTACCAGTCATCTTTGAAGTGGTTCTTTCATTTCAAAGCTTCGGTAACAGTATACAGAGGCTTGTCACGGCCGCCTATATATCTTTGTCATCAGTATCCTAGAAAAAGCATACACTTAACCTAATTCTTCAGGTGTCAGTCTCTTTAACGAGCAGTAATCGATAGTACAGGATTAGGTTGGAAAAAATGTTTAGTACTCTCAAATCCAAATGCAACATCAATCAAAGAAACTATTGACCGTTAATCTGAGGCAAGTAGGTAGGCGCAGACTACTTTGTCAGGGTTTGTGGAAAATCATCAATAATTGGAGACGTTCTATGACATAACTCAAAACTGCGTTTTTTAATCTTATCCATCTTGGATTCCATTATCTCTTTATACATACCTTCCAAATATCTTTTCAAATTATATTTCTTAGGTTCAACCACTTTTTATTATATCTAATATATTATTTCTATTTCAGTACAGTACTGAGCGTTAGTTTGTTCTGCCCACTTTTCTTTAGTTCACCAGTTCATTTTTGGAAGTTTTAAGTATGTATGTAATCAGGTTGTGCACCGTTTTTAACTATCACTTGTTGAAATTGTTGTGATATGTACTGGTCTGCTTTTCGAACTCGGAATACACTATAGATTTCGTGCTTTATACATTTTGATGTTTTCTGATGTGAGATAATCAAAACCCAGTTCTAAAGAACATCGATTTATTATATTTCAAGTATAAATAATTTTAAACTATTTTTCTTCTTGGTTTCAGTGTAGTATCGTCAATACACGCGACTATTGTTAGCATTCTGTGTGTTACAGCGCTAGTTACCAATGCTGATCTGTGGTATAATCCAGCTATGTAAGTAATCTGTGTCGTTTACAGTTGTTTCGATTTTTTTTGTTTGGATTTGATAATTATTATTTACTGACGTTTAAAATTCGCTTAGGAAAGTTTACCGTATGGAAATAACTTGCACTTTTGCCTGTACTACGGTCTACTATTCTAAAATACAAAATTTGTTTAGCTCTTTCGTGTGAATATTTCGATTGACAAATAAATGTCACTTAATACACTTAAGTACATCGAATGCCACTTAGAGTTTCGTGCATTATATTGATGCCATGATTTCTGTTCTTGTTCATATTTAACAAGTCATCTTTTTCGCATCACTTCGCGTCACTGGACTTGAGGATATGACTGCATTTAAAACTAGTTGCAAGACAAGAAGCACTTGTTTGCGGGAAATCTGCGTAAGAAACCTCAGTGTGTAAAAATTCAGCTAGCTTGTTACCATTAACTTGCTCGTTCACCGTTTTGCAGTAATATGATCGTTAAGGTTTTCTGAGTCTGTCCCTCACTGTTTGACGAATGATTATGTGCAAGATTGATTTTCCAAAGTCAATCAGCCGCGGCATCATGTTTTAAATCAAGTAACGTTTGGTGATTCTGACTTTATTAAAGTTCTATTCTACATACTGTGAACACAAGTATCTCGAAAACCTTCCTTACTTTCACCACAGCCTCCTGGTTTAGTGCTAGCGAAGGCAGATATACATAAACATACATCCTGTTACGAATGTGTGTTGGTTCAAGTTGCCATACCTGATTGGGACAACGTAAAAATAACAACAGAAATAGAAATGATGTACTAGATATAGTAAAAATGGTGTTTAAACCTTAGAAATATGGTTTGAAAAGATAATTGAAAGATATATATGAAGGGATAATAGAATCCAAGATCGATATGATTGAAAAATGGACAATTTTGAGCCATGTCATGTCACTCTCAACATTCATCTGTGATCAAAAACCTTCAATATACGAACATCTACTTTCATAAAAATTGTTTCACAGCCATAAAGTAGAATAGAGCGGACTGTTGCGCTATTTGTTTGGGAGACGGACGTCTCACCAACGCCACAGGTGATACTAGGTTACCATGTACTAACTGGACTTTTGGAATCCATGTCATCAAAACTTCTAAAGTCAGAGTGAACAGTAATCATCTTCAGATTGACTTAATTGGTAAATCACATAAATTTGGAGACAATTGCTATCTCTAATGAATAAAATCATATATTATTAGTCTAAATGTTTACTTTCTAGATTGGTTGTTTGAAACTTGTACAACGTGCCATCAGTCTAACTTAAAATTTCACCCAACTTATTTGTTAGGCTAGATTGGTTAATAAATAGTCTCATCCCTGTATCTAAATGTGATTTTTGTTTCATTTTTCTGACATAGCTATTGTTAAGACATAACTACTTATTATTACTCCTCAGTTATCAAACACTGTTAATTTATTAACGATTTCCCCCAGTTCGTTTATTAAATGTTTTCTTTAGACAATATACCTTATGTGATCTAATCACTTAGTTACTTTATTGCCATATATTTTACTATCAGCCGTACAATATCTACTTCTTTGGTTTATAGCTTAACAATTTCATCTTGCCTTTCTAGTGTGTAGGAAATTTTACCAATGCTTGTATGTATTAGGTTCTAAGTGACTAAATTAGCGGTCATGATGATAGTTATGACGAGAGGTTAGTTAGGAAGAAGCCAGAATTTACCCAAGTTACTCTTTTTGGTTTCGTATGTATGGTAAAACTGAGTGAAATAAAACAGTAGGAAATGGAGTGGATAAATATATTATTCACTTGTTCTTATCATCACAATACTTTTTACATGTATTTCCTTTCTCATATTCTCTTCAAAAGAAGTGTAGCTCATTCTGGTCTTATGGCACTATCGATTTCCATTGGTTACTTTTTATGTGGTAAGTTTGAAGTTTTATTTGAAGAATATCTTATAAGTAAATTTAATTTATGCTCTGCTGGAAAATGAGGCATATAAGTTTAACGGAGTGGGTGATAACCTTATCTCCATACCATATAGTAGGCTTAAATACTCATTATTAACGACCGATTTGAAGTTCAATTTGTTGGATTAAACTGTCATTATGTGACAAAATTGGGCGTTTCACATATGCATAAAATATCGAACACCCATACCTCTATACCACATCTGTTTTCATAACAAACGTTTTTCTAAAGACTGTCGGTATTCGTTTTGAGTATGCTATTAAGCCGATATCCTAAATCCTATTAATAGTTTTCCGCAACGTTAAAATTACTGCAATAATGAGGATAATCCTCTAATTTCTACGCAAACTAATCAGGTCGCAGAGATAGTAACAGTATCAGAGATAACAGGAAAAATTAGGCACAGAAGATGACTCGAAGAGAAAATATAATTTAACGAAATAAAAACAAATGGTTTCTGAGAAATTTATAATTTCGATGAGGAAAAAGAATTTATGCAAACGATTTCGAGCCATGTCATTCAAGGTCTCCAACCATTGGTTACAATATTATGTGGACCCGAACCAGGTAGTCTACACTTGTTAAAATGGCTTGGTCCGATTGTCAATGACTTCATAGACTGATGCCATGTTTTGTTTTGGCCGCCCCTGGCTTTCTTCCAGCTTACTCCTGCACCAGAAAACATCGCTCGTCGAGGTAGATAGTGGTTAGGCATATGTAACACATGTCCCGACCACTTCAGGTAATGAAGACTTACTACCTGATTAATCAACTTCTCATCTTTACCCAGTACTCTCTTCCTAATCAAGGCATTGGTTACTCCCTGGTCCTAAAATACATCAGCAATGCTTCGAAGACACCTATGGTCGAATACCATTAATCTACGAGCATTATCTACTCCAAATGATTATATTTGACATGTATAAAGTGGAGCTGAGTAAACTGCTGTACAGTGAACTCCCTTGGTTGGAAGATGGATATCTCTTCACTCCAGAAGTGACAAAGTTACCAAAAGCCAATCGAGCCTTCTTAATCTGTGCCGAGATTTTGTCAGACACCAGACTATCAGTAGTGATGAGACTCAAAATAAGTGAAACAGTCAATGCGTTTAACTACTTCACTCCTTATCACTAATTCAGGTGGTGACATAAGCCAGTCCTGAAGTAACATCTTGCATTTGGATGGAGAGAGCCGGATTCCGAACATGCATGCATCGTTGGTTATTGTGGTCAGAAAACATTTCGTTTTCTCATCGTCTTCACTGAACAGAACTGTATCGTCTGTGTATTCTAAGCTAACAAGTGAATTCCTCAGTAGACCATTCCATGAAAGGTCAGACGATGAAAGCGTTGTCTCTAAAAGCATGTCTATGACAACGTTAAATATAAATGAAGCGAACAACCCTATCAAACACCAGCTGAATGAAACAGTTTCGATGACAGTTCGGCATAAGCTCTGTTTTGATTAGTAGTGTTCGAGTAAAAAGCCTGCACAAGGCTAGTTTACTTTAGTACGCACTACATTATCAAACACTTTCACAAAACCTGATCAATAGAGTCGAACACTGCCTCAAGGTCAAAAAATATAATTATAGTGGGACGTTGAAAAGTATGTCTATGTTCCAAAATCTGCCGAAAGGTGAATATTTGGCTAATACATCCACGTTCAGGTAAGAAACCAGCTTGATTTTCTGAATTTGCTCTTCACGAGCTGTAGTTATACGTTCAAGTATTATTGGGGCCACTACATTAGTTAAACTGATTTCTCTGTGATTATCATTAGAGGGTTTTTGTTCTCTCTTGTAGACTGGGACGACCAATGATGAAGACCAGTCAGATGGGATCAAGTCCACCTCTCAGATTTTAGCTAAGACTGTTAATCTAGATGCTAGAACCACTATCCTTAAAAATCTCAGTAGTTAGTCCATCACGTCCTGCTGCTCTCCTTCGTTTTACATTACTTGTGGCTTTTTCAACCTCACTAAGAGTTAGAGGACCTACATCAGTTTGCCATTCAGGTTGCTTGGAGATAGTGAATGAATAAAGTGTTGTTAAAGGTCACTTAAAATGTGCCCTTAAGTTTTCTGTCCATCGGTTCAATTCCCTGGATTAAGAGTGAATAATAGTCTTGTCTTTTTCCGTGATATTTTCTCGAATAGCCGGAGTTTTAATACCCGTTCCCTTGATAAGTTTGAGCAATTATTAATTAGCTGATGTTACCTATCGTCGTTGCTTTTTCCATCTCTTCTAGTTTATCTACCCACCAATGCTCACAATCATTACATAGGCTTTTGATCAACCTATGTTTAAGCTGCCTCCGCTCCTCATTGTGTTTGGAGCCAGACGGGATGAGTTTCAGAGCATCTATCAGTTCTATAGATCTCCCTGAAATCTACTGATTTTTCCCAACCTTTTGATTTAAGTTACTAGCAAACACGACTGGTATTTCCATAGCTTTTTGGATATCATATTAAGGTACTTCGTGGTAGATATCATTTTCGCGATTGATTACCTCCTTATGCAGTTGATCCTGAAATATTATCCCAATGTTTTCACCAATAAGTTGAACCTGAAGTGATTTTCTTGTTGTGGATTTCTTACGTTCTGTAAGATGCAGACAAATACATGCTTGAACTAGGGCATGATCCGAGTTCACTCACATGCTCCAAAATAAGCGAGTTTTCAGTCGAGCCCCTCCAACGATGGCTAATAGCAATATGACCTATTAAAGTCCATCGGTCAGTTGATTGTGAAGGTCGCGACGTCAGATGATGTTTGTCCTTATGTTTAAAGTTGGTGTTTGCCGGAAATGGATGGTTACCTGAGCATCGTTGCAACAGTCGCCATTATCTGTTCTCTGAGCCTCAACAATGTAAAACCCGCTTAAGTAAAAATTAAAATAACCTGCTATGATTACTGCATCAGAGAGTGTATCTTTTTGAAGGAGGTTGGATGGTTTCCTATATAATTTATTTTTAGCTTCATTCGAGCTACTATCAGTGGGAGCGTAGGCTTAGTCAACGAAAAGGCAACGGCATGTGTCCCTATTTTTTCGACTTCATACTGTCTCGTTTAGTCGAACAGCACACGAGCGACCGTCTTTCGGAATCCAGTCTAACAGAGCCTGTTCTGCTTTTAGATTTAATATCATACGTACACCAGCGAAGCCGCAGGAAATTGGAGTGGGGTTTACCGAATGTTGAAGGTTAAATCCTGACAGTTCCTTGTATATTTACAAGGTGAGGTCAAATGTACTATATTTGGATCGCGTATGAGCGTTTCGAAGACGCAGCATACATTTATGGCACAAAATTCTAGAATCCTAGCTAAAGAATCCTATTGTGTACTCTGACACAACGTTCGAAAATTAAAAGCTCTAACTTGTAGTTTACAGCGTGGTTTAAGGAGACCAGGAATAACTTTTCATAAAGTGGAATCCTTAGGATTGGTTGCGTGGTGATATATATATATATATATATACGAGAAAGGTTAGTCGTATGGGAAAGACCAGTAGGGAATTTGATCGTAAATAAAATGACCCTGAGTACTGTTAGAGACACAAAGGCAGTCTCTACTTTCCGGTTACCCATGCCATGAAAAGAGACTGGGTTTAACGACCTGGAATGTGACCTCAGAACTTATGAGACAACTGCTTGAATCCGGTCACTCACGACCTTTTTATGGGAAGTTTTTGATATATCAGCTCCTCACTTCATAAGGCTTTACCGCCGGAGACGGAAATCTGTGGGTGTAAAGTGAGGTGTGAGATTTTCAGGGTCAACCTCTTCTATCATCGTCCTTCCGTTGTGAGGGGGCATCGGTACAGATGCTGGTTGTCCAAGGGAAATGCTTTACTACTGTTGTTATAATTTCTTTTATTACGACCCAGCTACTCCTATTACTTAGTATTATTGGACACTAATTCACTCGACAAGTCCCCAAATCAAAACACGTTTGGACAGGGACGAAATTATATCCCAAATAACAAGGGTTGATGGAAGTAGGAATTACGATAAGGAAAACGTCAGTATATTTATAGCTTTTACACGAGAAGATTCTAGAGTCTTCTCCAAGCATCCGCTAGCGCTGATTGGTTAAGAGATTGCCGTTTGACTTCGCCCTTGGGCATTAAGTTGCTGTTTTTGATCTTACTGTTCTCCAACCGACCTGCCTGGGGTTCCAGGACCTAAAGGAACATGTGTTCCTACCACTATAGCCCAATTGAGTCATTACTACAGACAAACCCAACCATCACATCAAGGTAGCAGCTACAGTTGTATAGTATGTGACCCATCTTACTCATTTCAAGTCCACAACTCTGTGAACTGTCTCTTCATGTGTATCTAGAATTTTGCATTACTCACTTGTTATTTCAGTTGAATTCATAATCAAATAAACTTCGTCTAAATATCTTCCATTTTATCAAAACTCTTTGCAGCTGTAAAATAGTGGAGTGGTTAATCATTTCTCGATAGCCGGTAGTATATCTTTTGGAACCATGGGTATTAAATTTCTGTAAATATAATTAAGCTTTCCGTATATTTTCTATAATGTTTCTGGTGGCAAGCACCAAGAGAAATCTCCTTGTCAGTTTCTGTATGCACTAGTTTTTCTTGATCTTATGAAAGTTTTCAGAGTATTAATATCCGAGTTTACTATAACTAGTTCTATTCACCGTCTTCATTTTACTCCTATGTGTTGCACATACAATTCCGTTTCTCATAAAACTAATTTCTTCCATCAATTTCACGTGTTGCAAAAATGTTATGCTGTCAACCTATTAAGTTTACAAAACAACAGAAAAATGATGAATTTTTTACTGTACATGAAAATTATTATATCTGTTCAGGTGTCATTAGATTTTAATCGTGACATTCAATTTTTCGTTAGCCTGTAAAAGAGAACTTCTAATAGCTTAATAAACAAGGTCAAATGTGTATTATATCACTGACGTCACTGCAATAAGTTGCTGTCTATTCATTTCTGTCAAATCGGCAAACGATAACATTAGTTTAACATGATATGTATTATGTGGTTCTAATCTGTGATTAAAAATTGAACTACTAGAGCTCAAATAAATTCCACTCGTTTCTCTGTGTACTGATAGATATCGCTATTTGCAAATAAGTCCACCCATTAATTGTAGTTTTTAGCTTGTATAATCATATTCTTTAGTTGTGTTAATGTTCTAAAAAAATTGTCGACTACTTGTTTTTTTAGATGCTATTTCTATGCCATTCTATTGGCGAAATAACCAGTTAATCATATTTCTTCTGCATCATGCGGCCGCATGTTTAGCATTTTTCTATGTTGTGGTAAATCAGCAATGTTATCACTTTTGTTATTAATGTTATTAATTATAAGTACAATTTAATTCGTCTCTTTGTTATTTGCTTTTCCTAGAAATTAAATCATTTACCATTAGTTAATGGATATTTTAAAATTTTTTTATTGGGATTAGAATAACACAAAGTAACATATTATAGGGTTTTCATAATAGGTTTTGATTGTTTACTAGCTTCGCTTTCGAATGACGGGAATAACTTATTAGTTCTTATCATCCTGCGATATCATTGAAATATTTCACAGCAAAACGAAAGTAAGAAATCGATGGATAGTCTTGAAGGAATTTGGTACTATCTTCTGACATATACCTCTTGATAGAGTTTGATAAGTCTAAGACCTACTTTGAAAGTGAATAAGCATTAATATATATATATATATATATATATATATATATATATATATATATATATATATAATTTTTTAGAAATTTCTGTCAATTTCATTGACATCTAGTTGATTTTTTGCTATTCAACTAAATAAAATTTTATTTTCCTCTATTTTAGCGATATCGAACCTGCGTATTTTTTGGTGTTTATCGACTTACAACCGAGCTATCTACACCTTTCGTCAACCAAAGGTATCTACTTATATCATTTCATTCTGTTTTACTTAATTTTAAGTATAAGTTTTGTTTGTAAGATTCATAATCCGAAACAGGAATGACCACAGTTACGAAATGTCTGACTGTGAATTCCCGTTAAAATGTAAAACATTCAAATATAGGTTGGTCAAGATTCACTGCTGGATATCAACAACAAGCAAATGCCAAACATTTACTAGCAATAATGTCTAATTTCATTACTGTTATCAACCATATGAAGGATAAAGTTATTGTATGTGAATGGAAGTAGTAGTAACTGCTTTTAATTGTTACTTCCTCAGTATTGTATATTTTGTATTACTTCATGAATCAATTACTTATCCAGTGTAATATTGAACCAATATACCACTATACATTTTGTTATCATTATTAAATGTTGTAGCAAGTCTTCCTTTAGGAAAGAAAGTTCTAACTGAATTTAGTCTGTTATATGATTATATGTAACTCATTCACCAAGCACATATTTGTGTTCTGCGCTTCTTTGCGTCAGAATTTTTTTTGTGAGAGTTAGTAATACTACCTGAATATTCAAGCGAACTTATCTAATGTCCGATTCTCCATTCCCCTAAATTAAGGTTGAGCATGTTAACCACTATATCGCCACTTCACATTTATGTATTTATTATTTAAACACATAGATATTAGTACAAGGAGGCACCAAATACATATGCACCACACATATCTCATTTGATATGTGTGAGGGCTGTGATACTGCCCGGGTGCCCAAACCGAAGCAGGTGGTTTTCTTAGGAGGCCACACCCGGAGCCTTCAACCTGAAGGTCTGATCCATATGGCAGTGAAGCAACATAATTAGATGCTGTCACATGGTAGCCGGTGACCAACGATTGGTTAATACGCCATTTGTTCCTTCAGGGTACTGGAGCCCATGTGCACCATTGGTTTGAAATCAGGGTTTTCCAACTCTCCTAGTTGGACACTCCGTGTCCACCACCCCGGTTAAAACGCCAGTTTCGTAAACAACAGTAATGCCACGAGAAGGCAGTGAGTAGGACTTCATTGGCAGAGGCTGTATACGCGTGGCCATGTGAGAGCATTTCAAGAGGGAGAGCGGACTCTCCCCACTCTCGGCCGTATCAGGGCATTTGGAGGCTTCGCACAATGCTGTCTGAAAAAAACCCCACATGTTTGTAGTTAAAGATTTGAATCCAGTGAATGATTTCAAATTACTACTCAGTTTTATTAATGAAATATTGTTAGTCCTTCTCAATAGTATTGATTCTAAGTATTTTTTATATGTTTTGCGTGCCACGGTTTTGATTGAAGTTTCCTTGGTAAAACCTGTTTTTCAATTTAAAACCCTTACTTCTATTATCACTGAAAGGTGGAAAAATGTTTACAGTGAACAAACTATTTTTTATTTACCAAAATGAATTGTAGGTGTAGTACTCTATGCAAGCTAAAAAATATTTCAGAATGATTTTCAACAAAAATCCACGATTTGTTTGAAATATACATAAAAAGTAAATACTGTCAGGAGAAGAAAAATTAAAATGATATACATATATATACACTTGGTACCAAACTACGTAGAACGACAGAAGGCCCAGACCTTTTCGCACATCTAAACTCAGTTACCATTCAAAGTTGTTGATTATTAAACGCCTCACTTATCCAAGTTCTACCTATGTCTTTTGTGAACAATTCTGCTTGGTCATGGGTAATATTATGAAGTACCACTAATATTATCTGATTGTATGCGAGTTCTGTAGTCATATATTTTTGTCCCCCCTTCGCCATCAGGTTTCATTACGTTAATGATCAGTTTGCTAACTGAAGTTTAAAGACTGATAAAACGATTTGATAACAACTTTTCTACTTAGGTGCGGTATACACATGTAAGCTGTTAATTAAATTTGAATGCTTTAACCAAAGGGGTATAACTTCATATGTTGTTCCTCGTACCACATCAGTACATATTTATCAAATTAGCTGAGATTCCTTTTCTACAAATAATATAAAAAACATATTCTAGATTGTCAGTTATCGCATCAATTGTTTGAACATTTCTTTCATTAATTCATAATAATAATGACCAACCTGTATGATTTAATCATATTTTGAAATTATCTTTGTAGGTGGTTCTATCGTACTATTGGTTACAAACCTGATCGCCGAAGAGTCGCATGCGTAACTTTGATATTTGCGATTTTTTTTATCATAACACGTAATCTAATGATTCTACCATTTTGGTTTATAGCCTATATATCTTACGGATCTGATGTTCAAAAAATTTGTGCTAGATCTTTTCCACTTATTGTTCCTATTTTCGTATGTAGTTGCGGATTACTTGATTGTTTAAATATCCATTGGGCTTTTCGTACTTGTCGTCTTGGCTATAAAGCTGCTAAACTATTATGGACTGCAGATTGGCAAAGTGATATTTGTAAAGCTCGAGCACATTTACACAAACGTTTACGTAATCTCCAACAACGTGTTGCCTTTAAAGCTAAAAATAATACGAGTTTAAAACCAACATTGATAGAAAACCATCATAGTAATACTTCATTGAGTGAACAAATCAGCAGTGGACTATCCTCATCGAATTATTCTACTTCCGATAGTGAACTGGAGTCTGTTTATTCAGATTTAGATTTTAAAGTAACTCCTGAAAATGATAAAGATTTGACTATATCTAATTCTATTTATCCAAATTCATCACAAAATCTCATTGATGATGATATTAAATTAGTTCATCGATCGTGAAAAAATAATAGGTTCTAAATTCCTTAATTTGATTTTATGTATAAACTATTTGTCAGTTTTACTGTTTTGCAAACAAGATCCTGCCAGTTATTGCATCACATAAAAAAAAGAAAGTAAATTTCTTCAATAATTATTCTGTATAGTTCGTATAGATTATTTTTAGATCAACATGGAAAGTATCATTTTTTGTTGTTGTGTAAAAAAAGAACTCATTTTATTCTTTCTATTTACCTTCAAAGTTGTTATAATTTATATTATTTTTTTAAAGAAAAGATAAGTTAAATATAGTCGATCATTTATACTAGTTCTTGTTAAATAATTATCATAACTTAATTATATATAAATTGCTTTCTCGGCTTTTGTTTACTTTCCCCTCATGAGTAAAGAAATCACAAATGTATTAAACGCTTTCCTTTCCCTTTTCAAGAAAAAAAACATCTCGTTAAAAAAAATTAGTCTGCGTCAACCTCGAGTTTTATAAATAGAAAATCAAGAAGTTGAACGCACTAACCACTTTACTTTTGATGGTTTTCTTAGTTTTGAGTGGTCGGTAATTGAATAAACCTTGATACATACGAAGATTGATTCAGCTTTTGTTCATTCCTGTCACCTGTTGAGCAAATGATATGTTCGTTTGCTCATCAGAAAGGTAGTGTATAGCATAGAAGTCTTTTCTGTATCGATATAGTCGTGAAAAATTACCTATTAAACAAGAAGAAATGTGTTGTCTATCTGTGCTTGACGGCAAAACACTTTAGATCGCTTTTTGTATATGGTGGAGCTGCCGAGTAAGTAATGAGAAGATTACGTAATAGAAATGATAAACTAATTGATAACCTTGTGAATCTTTATTGATTGGTTGGTTAAGGTTAAATGTCTAACTGCGTTATTTCAATGTGCAGTGGTACTAATATAAACGTTGATCACACGTAAATGCGACATTAATCTGTATGTTTATTGATCGTTAAATTAAGCTGCATCGATAAATACCTAGTTCCTTGTTCGAATTCATAAAACGATCTCCAACCATGGTTTGATATAGTAAATGCATTGACTGAAAATTGTTTTTAGTTACATATATTTGCTTATTCTCTATATTTTCTCCAATTTGATTATTAGTTTGTAATTCTTATTTTCCTGTTTGTTCGTTCATTTCGAAATATATTTCTGATGTAACAATTCAAGCATCGACTAACAGAATTCATAATGTCATTGAGTGTACTCTGTTACTTCTAACGGTTCACAAATCCTACACTCCTATCACGATCTTTATGAGTTATACAGTATTTCGCTACTGATCGACGATTGTCTGGTTGTAAGGAAAATATTTACTATATGGTGTGATTGTAGTTGATAAATTGGAATTTGAGGATTATAATTCCTATCCATTTAAATGGTTCACCTTGAACACGAGGATCCCTAGTTCTGTTTAGTGTGTGAGAGTGGTCGTCAATTCCTGACTGCCCACACTGTAGAAAGATCTGAAAATGAGACTCGTTTATTAATGGATTTAGTGACTTGGGAACGTGACAGTAGGTGCCTTTACTTTTTGTCTTCCTTTAGATCCTAAGTTTCAAAACCACCCATGAGTCCTCTTGGCTATACCACTTCTCGAATGGTGTGTTAGATGCCTAACTTTTCCTATTACCATTAATACTGTTGCTACTCTGAGGTTCGCCCTCACAATGTCATCTCTTTGTGTTCATGGTCCATCGCAACTTGAACCTATGTCTACACGTACCAAGTTGTACATTACGTTTGACTGACCAAGATGGTTTACCTTCGTTTCAGGTAGTTGAATGACGTTGTTGCGGTTGGACAAATTTTAGTCGAATTACCAGTTACTTAGTGTAACGGTGTTAACAGATTTTTGGTTGATTTAAAAGGTATGGAGAGATGTTAAATGTTGTCTTATATACACTTTCTTGTCGGCCGATAAAATTATTTAATTTTTGTAAACTATCGATTGATGGTATCTGGTCACTTGATTACAGTAAAGTCTATTCAGCCTGGATTGAATGTTAAACTTCAGTTTTTGCATTTTTATGTATACGACCTTTGTAGGTCACTCCAACCACTTAAAATTATTTCCAATTTAATTCAAATCGATCAATAATGATGATAAATTGTATCAAACTCATGTCTGATGGAAATAACTATAATATTGGTGAGTGTACTCTTTAATATCCGGAAATTCATGAAGTTTGCGATAAGGCTGTTATCCTAGTTTATATGATACGTGCAACGTTTAGTAACTAGTCTCTAAAAATGTAATAGGTTATGTCAGCGAGATGTCCAAACTAATAAATATGGTCAGGACTGTATAATGCTAATCAATTGATGATAAAAAGTAGAGTTGTTATTTATTGTTTATTGATCGCTACTGAATAGTGACCAATATCATGCTTGTCTGGTGCTTTCACTCCTGCTTCTGTCGATAAACTCCAGTTTGGCTACTGGTCTTAGTGTCTCAACGTCGCGTGCATTATGTTGTGATATCGGGTGGTTGGAGATAGCCGTCAGGAAACCCTAAACTTGGGTTATATGCTATTCAGCACCTTACTAGGGAGCGAAAGTTCCCTCAGGATTACACGTACACCTTGCTGACGAGTGCCTACTGGTACAAGATCTAGGTCTAGGGTTTCATTTTGACTACATTAAAACAGCTAACAGAATCGCTATTGTTAGTTATACATTAAGCTTGACTCTTCAAAGTCATGTATAGTGAACTAGGAGTTACTACGTATAGTGAGAAAAATAACTTATTTGATGTGTAATCCAACAAAGGAGAATAAATTAACCGTAATGAAGGGACATATTTAAGAAATGAAGAGGATTTTGTAGTGTACTGTATGTACTTTATGAGTAGGTTTATTCATATTAAGGTTTATAGATTTATGTCGCCATTCACTTCTCAAACATGCAAATGTGACAATTGGTTCTAGATTCAAGTGGAACATGTAAATTAAAATGATAGAATGGTACTGTTTCGAATTCTTCTAATCCTTTGTGATGTCCTTTTCAGCCATATAGGTTGGTAAAGCCGATTGGCTTATCCAGAGACACACAGTTAAAATGTCACAAATACCGAGCGCAGTAGCTGTTTCTATCATACACTTTCTTGGTCGTGTTTTCTATCCAGTGATTCGGACCATTTATCGACCATATAGCAGTCGCTGATTATCTCTTGTCGTGGGTAACACCTGACATCCATTTCACGGTCAGTGATTCATCTCTGTATTGTCTTTCTGTGCATTGTTTTTGTATGTGAAGTTGGTTTTAGTCAGAGAATTTTGTTCCCAGTTCAAATCCGCTGTGATTTAGTTAAATTTCTCAAAATACTGTGGGTGGCAAGTCTATACATATTTCGTCACCCATACTTTCGTTTTATAGACTCAGGTAGTTTTTGACTGGATGCTTGTACTCACCAGGTAAGGATATTACCATCGTATTTGACCCGTGATCATTTCTAAGATGACGCATGAAATATTCGTTTACAGTTCTCGTTAGCACATTTATATGTTATATCTCTTTCCAATTATGGATGATAATTTCAGTTTGTTTAGGCTTCATGTTAAACTCTTGAGACTTAGTCGAAGGCTTTATTCAAGTCAATGAATGTGCGTATTATTTATGTTTTATTGTCTGTTGTGTATTATGTTATATGTCTAACTTCAGTTATCTCTTGCATCGTTGACTTATCATTACTGAGTCCGAACTGTGTGTGCGACAATAACTCGTCTGTCTTTTCGTTCAAACGTTTGTGAACCATTCCAGGAAAACTTTTCCAATCATGTGTAGTAAAAAATATTTCTATAGTTTTTATGTATGCTTAATACGTTAGCGTCAACCCAGTGTGATAATGTTATGCCTGTTTTTTTCTGATTTCACCGTTTCTGTCATTCCATCACCGCCAGGAGTTTTATTGTTTTTCATTTTTAGCATATCTGGTTCAAAATCGCCCAAAGTATAGGGGAGTATCAGGTTTACCAGTTTGTCTTTCTTTGCTTATCGTGCAACCTATCGCATTAAGCAGTTTTTGATCATGTTCTTTTAGCAGACTTTAACTTGTTCGTTGTTTCTTTCAATAATTATTATAACTTCTATTTTTCATTGTTTGATGGGGGTTCTTCTATTGGTGTTTCGGACCACCACCCCCGTTGTTTTTTTTGTATATACTTTTACCTTACCTTTTTTAATCATTTTGTTAACTTTATTTTTCTTTGTATTATATAATTTACGATTGTGGTCTATTGACCGATTTAGTCGTCACTTCTACAGTAGTTTCTTATTTTCTCTCTTAATTGATAGCTCACTATCTTCTAGCATTCGTTATTTGTTAGCTTTTTACTAAATTGTTGCAAGTTTTCATTTGTGATACTTACGATGGCTTATTCTGTTTGGTTCAAATCGAAATCTTTTAATTCTTCCGCTAGGCCTTTAGTGTACTCTTCTGGGTCAATTTCTCACTTTTTTGTCCTGACTTCCTTTCTTTTTCGAGCTTTTTATTTTTTCAATTTGTCCATAATGCTCATTTTTCATTGGCTATGACTAGGTAGTGGCCAATATTCACTTCAGCAGACCTTCTTTTATCTATGTCATTAATCAAGAAGTCTTCTCTCGGATAATACCCTGTTTATCACAGAACTTCTGTTTGTACCTGAATCAATCATCCTTAAACACTCACAACGATTGTAGTATAGAATGGAATAATATGTCCAAGGATAAATTATCGATATATTGGTTGTTACAGAACCAACGACGCAAGTTAAAACATTTATATGTAGCTACTCGGATGTCAATGCTTTGTCGGTTGATTTTTATAAAACAGTCAACGTACACACCTATTGAAATTGTATATGCTACTTAAAATAATATTGAAGAATGTTACCACTTCACTTCATTATTTTTCTTTGCATATAATCTGTAATTGCTTAAGTGAGATAGAGTGTATAAACACTTCCTAAAAATTAGGGATATTTTACAGTCTGAAATTTAATAATATTATTTATATCAAAACTAAAATATTTGCCCCTTGACAATCTCTGTGTACCATTTTCTGAATATGAATGTCAGTTATCAATACATTTTTGAATATCAAAATTTTAGATGTGGTATTTCTATAATAAATTGGATAATTCAAAATATCCTGACAGAATATTGTATGTATTTTCGCCTTAAAATTTAACTATATAAATCTCCAATGGTTGATATGATGCTAATATGCCTTCTAAGTTGATTAAAATCTTGTTAAAACTATATTATATAAATATGGAAAATCGGATAAATATTCCTAATATTCCATTATAGCCTAATAAGTAAGTTAGTTATCTACTTTATCTGCTATTTTAAAGTAGTTTTCATTGTTATAAACTGAAATCAGTTTGAGAAATCCTGAAAACTAGAAGCTAATGGACAGTTTCTTTTCTCTAAATTAGAATTGCTGTTTAACGCTCAATTACAATTCCACTAGGAATGGTACTTTTGATTTACAGAAACCTTTATGAGTTAAGTAGATTGTAGCTAATGGGTTTAAATTCACTAGTGGTGATATAGTTACTTCAATCAATTCATGAATATGTTGTGACCATCATTCGATATTACCAGTTCTACCTGTTTGACTCATTTAACGGTTGAACCCCATCTATCGTAACTTTACACTAAATCTTTAGGAATTTATTTCATTGTTACACATTCAATAAGAACGCGATTATTGTCTCAATCATTAAAAAATGAAGTAATTCAAAGTGATATTAATGCTAATATTCTCTTTTACAGCTCAATAGATTGACATCTATGAACTTTTTGTCTACTGTCAACTGTAAGAATAAGTAGAATACAATTTAACATATACCCTGTACCAACAAACGTTTGCTAATTCAATTCGCTACATCATTTTGCATGAATTACTTACGTACGCCTATTATCCCTCATGGAGGAGCATAGGCCGCCCATCATCATTCTCCATCCAACCCTGTACTGGGCAATCCTTTCCAGTTACTATTAATCCTTTTCGTATCTGCTTCTACTTCTCGATGCAGTGTGTTCTTCAGCCTTCCTCTTTTCAATTTCCCTTCAGGATTCCAATTTGCCACATGTCTCATG